AGAGCACATTTGCATAAAGTTTTTTTTTAAGAATTAGGCATGTTAACTGTTGGTAATAGAGTATGTTTTTTAAAACTGGGAATGGTACGTAAAATGTTTATTAATGTGGTTCCTTGTTATTTGGTGAACTATTTTCAAATGGTGAGGCAACAGCATTCATACAGTACTAGGGGTTGAGATTTTACTATTTGTTTATTTAAATTTAGAAGTCTAGTGGGGAAAATGTGTTTTTATATACAAGTGCAATCATGTGGAACAAATTACCAAAACCTATTAAAAAAATAAAAGACTTAAGGAGGTTAAAAAAAGCTATTAAAAGATGGTTGTTTGATGAGGATAATTAGTTTGCATGGTGGATGAGGATGTTTTTATTTTATGTGTTATTTGATTGTGAATGGGGTTGCAGCTGGAAGGGCATCCGCTGCATGAAACATATGCTGGATAAGTTGGCGGTTCATTCCACTGTGGCGACCCCTGATTGATGGAGGGACTAAGCCAAAAACAAAAATGAATGAATGAAGGAATAATTGTATTTGTGAATTATTTTGTTCCAGTTTTAAAATGTGGAGGAGCCATACTTTGTTTTATTTAACAGCGTGGACCACAATGGAAACAAGCCAAGGCCTTTATTGTGTTTTTATCCTCAACAGCTTTTATTTCAAAATGTATGGGATACTTGTATTTATGTACAGCTTGTCTAAAATCTGTCAGATAAAATTCAATTCAATACCGCGGTACTTTGAATATTAGGACTGAAATCCCATGTAGGCATGACTTCAAAACAGCACTAATTATTTGACTGTGGAAGGTTGTACTTTGATCATTATTGGCTGCTAATATGATTCCACTACTTAGCACTAGCAAATAATAACGTTACTGGTCTGAAATTATAAGGAGAAAGTCCAAATGACATCAATACGATATGACACCAACTTTACCTCAATCAGTTAAATTGTGTCACGTAACGTTAGTCAGCCGAGTCACAAACCAGTATTACACTCGGCGCCTAAAGCTTTTGATACTTCAAACGACGTACAGTAACCTTACGTCTATTTCTGTAGATAAGTAAACTAATTAGAAAAAAACGGAACTGTGTAAAATGTGTCTGATTATTGATGAAATGCTGATTAGATTTGAGGTTTGCGTAAGTAGGCTAGGCAGGTTTTCTCAGTTAGCAAGCACGATTAGCATAACTATTGATCGGTCAGGAAATAAAACATAATTTTGTCTAAACGTTAACTTACATGAAGTAAATTCATTTATGACAGCAACAACACAATTGATTTATATTAGCACTTATGTTAACATGTATTAAAATATCTGTCAGGAGAAAAATCGAGATTTTGAGGTAAAAATCTCTTACACTCGATGATAACTCAACAGTCAGACTATTTAAACTAGCGGGGACATGTAAAGTCACCCAAAACAGGTATTTTTAGTCGATTATATTTATTATAAACTTTGTGTGAATACTATGACGTGACTGAAACACAAATGAAAGCTTTCGTTAAAAATCGCATAACGTTAGTCGTTCGTTTTCAATATAACGTTAGCACTGATATTTGGTGTAATTAATCTGCTTCACTTACCTTTTGGCAAATTAAAAAAATAAATAAGAAACGAAAAAAATCAGGATTAATTTGGCAACACTTGATGATCTATGAGGTGATGTTGTTGATCACGTCAAACAAGCACTATTTACGTGACTTTTGATTTTCAACCAATGAGCTGCAAGGGCGTTTCTAATGGAGTTTTTAGCCAGCCTGGTGTAAAGCAGGCCCGTAGCCAGCCTGGTGAAAGAGGTGGTTCTTTTTCTCAAAACGTGGACCTTTCTGTAGTTATAAGCCTCAGTTTCTATTTAACTATGAGATTTAAATACTGCATTTCAGTGATTTATTTATTTATTTATTCTTTATTGAATTAGCTAGTCAGATGTCATCATAATCACACTTTTTATGTACTAAAAATATTTCCTAAAAAATTGCAATAAAATTTTTTTAAACAAGACTAATTTTTAAAATACAAATTTATTACATCATATATCATTAGGAAAAACAGCAATCTGTTAAAGTTTTAAAGTAAAAAACAGTAAGTTAGCCAGCACATTCAACTTTCCTCAGTCACAATTTGGCCATTTCAATAAAAAAATAATTTTAATAATAAAAATAAAACAACAATGACGAATTCTTCAGAATTTTTCTAGTCTCTTTAGTAAAAAAATTAAAATAAAATAAAATAATAGCCAAAATATATTTAAATTAATTTATACTTGAACAACTAAATGAATGCCAACGTTTATTTAACTGATTGTATTTTAATTACTTTACAACATCAATGCTGAAAAGGAACCGTATAACGTTAAAATGAAAAAAAGCACAATAACAGGTCACCAGAAGTTTATAAGTATGGGAACAACACTAGCTCGTCATATACCCAATTATATTCATCTGTCTCCATATTCTACTGAATCCCAGAATATTACACAGCACCAAAAATGTAAAAATAAATATTGAATATATTTAATATGTTTTTGTCCACAGCAGACCGCAACTCGCCGTGACGCAGATTCCAGAGTCCCTCTCCAGATCTCACCATGACAACGAGACTCACAGCAGTGACGTGTCTTGTAAAAATTTGCATATGCATTCCTATAAAGCTCGTCGGTTCTCTCTCAAACGTTGTCAGTTCGCTCGGTGTTGCTGTTTGTACTTGACCAAGGTGAGTTCAATACCGACGGTACGAGTGGAGCCACGCCAATCTCACGAAGTCCGCTTCGTGAAGCTTAACTCGGGCCCGTCTGTGCTGTAGTTCCTTGCGGTTTGCGTACATAAACGCAATATCGCTAGGAACATTACGTGTTTGTTGCTCGGAATGTGCCGCCGAGCAACATCCAGTGAACACTGGCACGGCCTGGCGCCCGGTTAACTGCACTCCCTGGGGCGAGGCGCTTTTGAGCCCTAGGCAGGGAACAAACAAGCCCTGAGGACCCTCAGGGAAACACGGGAGGCCGGTAGTGGGACCTCGCTGCGAGGGTTATGGTGGGTAGGAGCAGCGAGGCCCATTCATCGTCTATTTTAAACCATAGTTTCAAACTTTAGTTTACTATAGTTTGAAATGGAAACCATGGTAACTGTTATGTATGTCTGGCTGTTGTAATGTTTTGCTTTATCTTTCAGCAGAGCTGTTGAGCAAAGAAGGACTATTGAAGACAACCGTTGAAGCCAACCACGGGTTATATTCATGAGCGCGCGCATTATAATGTTTCCGTGCTGTTTTCTGAAAGTTTATCTTGTTTAGATAAGATTGCAGGTCAAATAAACTACACTCTTTCTAAACACTTGTCTTGTGTTTTATTTACCCTCTACAGCAATACACTGTCATGTAAGTCTGTTGAATGCATTTGTATGCCACATGGTGTGACAGTTAAGTAGTCTAACAAACAAGTAGGTATAATTGTACCTTCATTAGTCAACATTTGGTGTAGGTAATATAAAGTTAATCAAATATGTCCTAAGACATAATGGTAATGTTATGGTTGTTACTACTGTTAGGTTTAGGTTGACTACAGCAGATATAGGCTACCTATATCATAATATTGGTAGTCAAGTTATTTTAATGACCCAAATCAAGTAAAATGTGTCTTACTCAAGTACATTTAGCATGCAAAGCTCAAATTCAAGTATATAAAATCAGTTTCCAACAACAAAGTTTTGTCTTGTGAAAATGACCAGTGGGTAGTGAGAAAAAAAGTTAATGGCAAGTTATATTTATATATAAAATAAATTTAAATTGTTATAATATTACATTTCCATAGACGTTTTTCCTAAATCTATTATTGGTAAATTGCTCCCATGTCAATCTGGACTTTGTCTAATGAAGGTGAGGTGCATCTGAAAAAAGATTGTCCTATGTTCACATTACTTTTGTTTTGGTTCATTCTTTGTCCTGTGTAGTGCTGTCTTTCCCTTTCTGTGTCACAATGACATGATCTGGCAACAAATCACAGTACAAACCACAAAAAAAATTTAACAAATTAGCCAAAGCTTACATCAGAACAATCCCTACAGAGTACAGTTATATTGACAACATGAGTAAGTAATTTGACTGTTCATTCTGACATGTTCATTGAGAGATGAACTAAGCATTTTAAGCAAGAGACTGGCTTTTGCAGGTAATCCATGCTGATTTGCTACTTGTATGTACTGTTTGAGAAATGCACTTACTGTTTAGCAACACTGTAATACAACACAAGTTAATGCAATGAAGAAAAGTCTGCAAAAACAAAAGTGTGTATTTTTATTTGCACATATTCTTTTTTAAAACTAATAGTGTATACATAATTGGGTTTTATATTTTTTTGGCTTAATATTTAATACTTTATAAAGGCTTAACTAGGTTAATTAGGCAGGTTAGGGTAATTGGGTATTGTTCTCGAAAAAAATATAGCTTAAAGGGGCTAATAATTTTGATATTAAAATGTTTAAAAAATAAAATAAAAACTGTTTTTATTCTAGCCAAAATAAAACAAATAAGACTTTCTCCAGAAGAAAAAATATTATCAGACATACTGTGAAAATTTCCTTGCTCTGTTAAACATCATTTGGGAAACATTAAAAGGAGAGCTAATAATTCTGTTTTCAACTGTACAATGTGATATTCCTTTAAGCAGCTTTAAGAAAAGATTGTAAGACACAAAAGCATTTCATAGAATGTTCTTTAATTAATGCTGATATGGCATCATTATACAGTCACAACATACAGTAAGAAAATAAATTATCCTTGACATGACAGTACTGGTGGGTTGCAGCAGGGAGGGCATCCGCTGTGTAAAACATATAAGTTGGCTGTTCATTCCGCTTTGGCGACCCCTGATGAAAAAAGAGACTGAACCAAAGGAAAATGAATGAAAGTACTGGATCACATCCTTACATGGGTTTATTAGGAACGTTTCTTTGCCCTGACCAGTCTTAATGCAGCTGTTTTATCTTTTGAAAGGTGTTCCCGTAGTTGAGACCCAGCGCTATAATGAACTACAAACAATCCGGAAAAAAAATATCCAGCTAATTGACCAAACTTGTATTTCACACAGCTTCAGGATGCCATCCAAATGGTAAAAGGAATGATAATTGTGGGTAAAATTCCAAACAGGGTCACCGACTGCAGATAAAACATAATAAACAAGCCCAACAGAAGACTTATAAGAGAGCTCATCTTGCTGCACACAATCTTGCGCACAGCTTTGCAGAACTGTTGAAGAGAAAAGAAGAAATAATTAATAAGCTTATACATTTTCCATTCAAAACACACTTTCTATACATTAAAAATATTCAGTTGAGTATGGTCTGTTGAGGAAAATAAAATAATAGGCTACTTAATGCAAAAATGAAACATTTAGTTCATTATGCACCCCCTCAGAGCATCCAAGATGTAGGCCTAGCTGACTTTTTACATTAAGCATAAAAGTCAACACTATCATTTTAAGTCATTTAAATTGCATTTATCTTTTTTCTTATTTATTTGTTTGTTTATTTATTTATATTTTTGCATTTTTCTGATTTATTTATTTTTCTTGTTTATTTATCTTTCTTTTTTTATTTATCTCATTTATTTAATAATTTATTTATATTTTTGTATTTTTCTTATTTATTTATTTACTATATTTTCATATTTTATTTACTTTTTTATTTTTCTTATTTATTCATTTATCTACATTTTCATATTTTTAATTTAATTTATTTTTCTTATTTATTTAATTATTTTGTATTTTGTCTTATTTATTTATTTATTCATATTTTTCTTAATTTAATTTATTTTTCATATTTATTTATTTATTTATTTTGTATTTTCTCATTTATTTATTTATTTATTATATTTATTTATTTATTTATTTTAGCTTCACAAAATCTCAATGTTTTGTCAAGAGCCACATGTATTAATTAGTTCTGCGTCTATTATTACTTGTATTATTATTATTATTATTATTATTATTATTATTATTAGCCTATTATTATTATTATTATTATTATTATTATTATGACTCTCAAAGTGCTAGTAGCTCTTGAATATGATTTTATATGTCACCAAAGATCACAGTTTCCAATAAAAATCTTCTTTTATGTTTTATTATAGAACAGAGTCGCCTTCATGATAGCCAGTTTTAATTTTTTTGGTCGCTTTAACTCTCTCTTAACACTAGGTGGCAGTGCCTACGAGTTTTTTTGGTATACCGCATTGGTGGAATTTTCCTAAAATGATGCATAATTGCATAATTTGTTCAAAAGCACCACCACAGATTTCATGACTTCCACAGAATTCATATAATGGAAAACAGATCATTTGGACGACCTAACAAAAACAAAAAAACAGAATGATTTAACTTTGATGGGCCTATTTTTAATTTTTGTGGCCGAAATCAGAGTTCCAGTTGTACAGTGGTCAGTATTGTCATGCATGTTATTTGAAATATCATCTATATTTTGACCTAAAAAAGACAACGTGTGTATAGAAAGAGTTTCAGAGAGATTACATGCTGGAATCTGGAGATTAACATTCTTGTTAAAAACATAAATATCCTCATTAACTTATTCAATTTTCAGACATAGCATGTATTTCATGTTTGTTGTATGCTTATGTTAACATTTGTATGCACATGCTAAAAACAGATGTTTTCAATTTTTAGAACAGGTTGCACTTTTCGTTCAACCTTGCACAGTCAGTCACCAACAATGCCTTACATAAATGTGCTTTTATAAATTTCTTTAAGTGATATTTTGTGTGTAATCCCATGAATCCCAAAAAATTAAGGAATGTTAGTTGGGGGGGTTGTGTGGAATAGAAACATTTTTAAGTAATGAATTATCCATTTCATGCATTGACAAACTGAATATACATGTTTAGAAAGCATTTAGAGAATACATTTACATAAATTAGCACATGGAATATTTCTCTAGCAGCCGCATAACATGCAGTTTCTCACGGGATTGAAATGTTCTTCTAACATTGGCACAATCAAGAAAAAACATTCTTAACACATTTAAAAAATGGACGTTTGTTTAAGTTTCAGAAACACAATCGGGCAGAATGTGATCAAAAAAATCCTGGAATATAGGCCTAAATTTTGTTAGCTGGTCAGCATTGCACAGCAAATTAACAATAACAGTAAATTCATCAGAATTTCTTTCATTTTTTTTATTTCAGTTAACTCATTTTAGGCTACGTCACCCTAGAGGGTTACAAGGTATTAATACGAGACCTTTTGACTTAAAAAAATTAATTATATATATTTATATTTATGAAAATACTAAAATATAAATAAGAAAATACTAAAATATAAATAAATAAATAAATAAATAAATAAATAAATAAATAAATAAATAAATAAATAAGAAAAAAAACATATATACAGTTGAAGTGAGAATTGCTAGCCCCCTGTTAATTTTTTCCCAATTTCTGTTTTACAGAGAGAAGATTTTTTTCAACACATTTCTAAACATAATAGTTTTAATAATTCATTACTAATAACTGATTTATTTTATCTTTGCCATGATGACAGTAAATAATATTTTACTGGATATTTTTCAAGACACTTCTATACAGCTTAAAGTGACGTTTAAAGGCTTAACTAGGTTAGGATAGGGTAATTAGGCAAGTTATCATATAACGATGGTTTGTTCTTTAGACTGTCAAAAAAATTAAAGCTTAAAGGGGCTAATAATATTGACCTTTAAATGGGTTTTAAAAAATTAAAAGCAGATTTTATTCTAGCCAAAATAAAACAAATAAGACTTTACCCAGAAAAAAAAACATTATCAGACATACTGTGAAAATTTCATTGCTCTCTTAAACATAATTTGGAAAATATTTTAAAAAGAAAAATAAATTCAAAGTGGGGCTAATAATTCTGACTTCAACTGTATGTATATAACCATATATGGTTCTTCAGGCGGTAGAGGGTTAAATAGTTAAAAATGTTCCCAATCTTCTTAGGCATTAACTGATTAAAAACAGCAACAGAATGTGAGATGTGACAAAGAAGTATTCATGTGTAATTGGTTTTAAGACCTTGTAAGTTTTTGCGGATTATGTAAATTCGTTTTGGTATGTTCTTAAGTTTACTAATACAGTTTACCATCCTAATACTATTTCCTTACAAAAATATAAAACATAAAAAAGATTTGATCCACCTGAGGGTGAGTAAATAGTGAATACATTTTCATTTTAGGCAAAGTTTCTTTGTAATAAACTGAAAATCTGTAATGTTTTGAAAACATTGAGAATTTATGTTTTCATTTGCATTTTTAATCCTTACTGTTGATAAAAACCTTCAAATGAAACATTCCCAAAAGATTTTCAAGATGACAGAATGAAGCATTTCTCTAACCGTTGCATAGATAAGAATGAACATTTTAATACATTTTAAAAAGTTTATATGTTTAAACATCCAATCTAATGTTCACACGACCAAAAAAAAAAAAAAAGACATTGTAATTGTTACGATTAGAATTCCAATGCAAATTAAAGGGATAGTTCACCCAAACAACTTTAATTATTTCATCATTTACTCTCACTCTCTCTATATATTTTAGTTTTTTTACGAGTTCCTATCTTCTGTCGATCACAAAAGAAGATAATTTTGAAGAATATTGGTTGCTGGTACGAATCAACTTCCATAGTAGGAATAAAAATCATTATGTCAATGGGTACCACCAACAGTTTTCAAAGTATCTTCTGTTGTGTTCAACAGAAGAAAAGGGTGAGTAAATGATGACAGAATGTTCATTTTTGGAAGTATGCCTTAAAATGAACACCAAACTGGTAGCTATTGACTTCTAAGAGTGGATGTCAATGGTTACCGGTTTTCAACATTCTGCAAAATAGCTTATTTTTTTGTTCAACAGAAAAAAGTAACTCATTAAGGTTTGGAACTGTAAAGTGAGTTCCTTTTCATTTTTGGCTGAACTATCCTTGAATAATCGATTAAAAGCAGCAACAAAAGAGACGTGACAAAGAACTATTGATGCTTAGTAAGTTTTGAGACCTTCTAAGTCCTTGCAGATTATGTACGTTCATGGTCTTACATTTACTAATACATTCTTACATGTTCACGCACATTCCCAGAGATGGGTTGCGGCTAGAAGGGCATCCGCTTCGTAAAAACATGCTGGATAAGTTTCGGTTCATTCCGCTGTGGTGACCCCGGATTAATAAAGGGACTAAGCCGACAAGAAAATGAATGAATGAATGTTTACGCACCAAAGCTACTAAAGAAAGAGTAATTTGATTCTTAAAAATCAAATCTTTTAATATTATTGAAAGCTTTAAAGAGAAAATGAAAATTCTATCATCATTTACTCCCTCTTCACTTGTTAAACCCGTTTTAATTTCTTTTTTCTGTTGTAACCTGCAACCATTGACTTCCATATATTTGTCCTTCCCGCTATGCAAGTTGATGGTTACAGGTTTCTAACATTCTTCATAATATCATAATATAATTTGTATTGAACAGAAAAAAAAACTCTGTTAATTTTCATTTTGGGGTGAGCAATTCTTTTAATAATAGATATAGTTCAGCCAAAAATATTACAAAAAACTGTCACCATTTACTTCCTCTTCACTTGTTAAACCTATAAGATTTTTTTTCTGTTGAACACAAAAGGGTTTTTTATGTTGGAAACCTATAACCACTGACTTTCTTTTTCTACTATAATGGAAGTTTTACAGGTTTTAAATATTCTTCAAAATATCTTCTTTTGCTTTCAACAGAAACTCATTAAGGTTTAGAACAACTTTAGGGTGATTAAATGGCGGGTAAACTAATTTTTGGGTGAACCATCCCTTTAAATTAACTTCAAACCTTGAAAGGTCTCACCTGGTAGGTCTGAAAGCTCATGCTAGTGCCGTATCTGCAGTACATGACGTAATGTTCACAGTTGTACCACAGCAGACTGTAAACCACAGACCCACAGAGCTTCTCAGCTCTCCTGGCCACTTCCTCACCTTCGAATGCTGCCCGGCTACACACCTTGTCCATATGGTTAACCAGAATCTCTGCTCCATAAGCAAAGTCCTCCACCGAGTCCACGCGGACGCTAGCTTTTTTGGCAATTACCCCTAAAATCAACCGGTTGTTGGTCACCATCTTCTGAATAGCTTTCTGGTCGGTGGTCCAGACCGGTAAGATATCAGGAATAAGATGAGCCACGCGATTGTTTCCCAAATAAATCCCGAAATGCGTGAAGAGAGTTCTCGGGACCTCTAGCAGATCTCCTCTTTTATATTTGGAGAGGTCATACTGGAGTGTTTGCCTTTTCTTCTTTTCTTCGAAGTCTGCGAGCACGGCGATGTAGAAGAGGCTGAAGAACTGCAGGGGAAACATCCTGTCTGGAGAGACGGGGGGCTTCTGGATGGGACGGCACCTGCTGGCTTTATCAGGGAGCCCGAGGAGGGGCTTGAGGATTACAAACCCTGAGCTATTTTCAGAAAGAACGAAAAAAAAAAGAGACTTTACAATAAGTACATCACATGCACTGATGGAACAAACAAACCACAGTTGCCCAATGGCTTTAAACTTTCTTACAGATTGTAGACGGATTTAAGTTTTCTATTTGTGGAACAAAGGAAGGTATTTGGGGATTGTATAATGATTACATGTTGCAGAAATGGTGGAGTAACTTTAATGGGAATTAATGGTGTGATATTAACTCTTTGGAGCAGCGGTGGCATGTTTTACGGGCCAAAAACGACACTTAATTGAAGACTGTGGGCCGAAGGTATGGCTTCCATTCAGGGTTCCATTCAATTTATTCAAGTTGTCCAAACTCAAATCGATTAAGTTAACTTAACTAATATAAGCAGATCGAACATAAAATAATTAGGTTGTCTCAAAAGAAATTTTAAGAATTTTGTTGTTTCAGCTCATTTGACATATTTTGAACATGCAGCAAAATCATTTTTGAGTGTGTTGTAAATGCTGAGTTCCACACAATTTCTACTTAATTAACAAGTTAACTTAATTGTATTTTTTTTACAAATTAAAGTGGATTGAACATAAAACAATTAGGTTTTCTGAAAAAAATCATAGGAATTGTGTTGTTTCAGCTCATTTGACAGTTTGAACGAGCAGCAAAAGTCATTTTTTGAGTGTGTATTACACTAAAAATGCTGAGTTCCACACAATTCCTACTCAATTTACAAGTTAACTTAATCGTTTTTACAAATTAAGTGGACTGAACATTAAACAATTAGGTTGTCTGAAAAAAAGTCTTAATAATTGTGTTGTTTAAACTCATTTTAAATAAGCAGATTGAACAAGCAGCAAAAGTCATTTTTTGAGTGTACATTAAAGTTGAAATGCATAATTTCTTAATTTATTTCATAAATTAAAAAAATAAAATTTTCTCCATTTTATAATGAACTAAAAACATAATTCCATGTTTAACACAACGGAGTTTAATGTAATTACTAAAGCTGCATCTGCTGATGTCTTCTGCCTTGTCTTCTATTAATCAGTGACAGCGTATTTATTTGTATTATATATATATATAAAATACAAATAAATATGCATTATGGTGGCGCAGTGGGTAGCACAATCACCTCACAGCAAAAAGGTCGCTGGTTCAGGAGTCTCGGCTGGGTGAGTTGCCATTTCTGTGTGAAGTTTGCATGTTCTTCAGTTTCCTCCACAAGTCCAAAGACATGCAGTACAGGTGAACTGGGTTGGCTAAATTGTCCGCATTGTATGTGTGTAAATGAGTGTGTATGGGTGTTTCCCACTGATGGGTTGCACCTGGAAGGGCATCTGCTGCATAAAACATGTTCTGGATAAGTTGGCGGTTCATTCCGCTGTGGCGACCACAGATTAATAAAGGGACTGAGCTGAAAAGAGTATGAAGGAATGAATGATTCATTTACACCATTTAATTGAAACATTTGTTTTTAGTTTGCTTTTTTGTAGCTCAACAATATAAAAAAAACTACCAAAAAGTTACATTGAATTTAAAAAGATGATTTCTGGTAAAGGCAGGCGACATGGGGGCTCAGTGGTTAGCACTATCCCCTCACAGCTTGAAGGTCGCTGGTTCGAGTCTCCCCATGTTCACGTGGGTTATCTCCGGGTGCTCTGGTGTCCCCCACAGTCCAAAGACATGCGCTATAGGTGAATTGAATAAACTAAATTGGCCGCAGTGTGTGTGTGTGTAAATGTGAGTGTATGGGTGTTTCCCAGTACTGGGTTGCAGCTGGAAGGGCATCCGCTGTGTAAAACATTTGGTGGATAAGTTGGCGGTTCATTCCTCTGTGGAATGAATAAAGGGACTAAGCCGTAGGAAAATAAATGAGTGAAGAATTTCTGGTAAAGGCATTCACCCCAATCCTCCCCATCAGTCTTCCTCTTCCCAGTACTGGGTTGCGGCTGGAAAGGCACACAATACATTTTCCAAACTTTAACACTGAAGCACAAAGTTAAAGGGTCATAAGGATCATTTTTTGACATTGACATTGAGATTATACAAAACATGAAAGCTAAATTAATATAGACAGAATAATATTTGGCCAAGATGCAATTATTTGAAAATCTGGATTCTGAGGGTAAAAAAATTACAATATTAAGAAAAGGTTTCTTTAAAGTTGTCCAAATTCACATAAATAATAAAAAAATAACTTTTGATAATAGTAAATAACTTTTTTAATAATGTAGGGAAGTTGCACCGTTTTTCATGGAACATGATCTTTACTTTATGGTTGATATAATGATTTAGTCTATAATTTTAACTCTCTTCTATTATCTCAAATAAAATTGCAAACTGGTTTGGTGCCACAGGGTCTCAATTGGTGAGTTGCTTTTGGAAAACATCTGGCAAAAACACAATTGAAAATGTAAATATCATTTATGTCATAATTAATGTTTTTTCAGAAGTTTCTGAGGAATGATTTAGGATCAGACATGTCAGGAATGCAGTGTTTATTCATTTAGCCTGGCCTCTAGAGAATAAACATGCACATGTTCTGTAATTCATTCCTTTCATTAAGAGTTCCAGAGTTTGATGCTTCGTTCCAATTCAGTTTTATTCCACTTTCATGTCAGTTTAAAGGGATGGTTCACCCAAATAAATAAGATAAATTTACTCACCCTTAACTAGTTTAAAATCTATTTAATAATCAATACATACACATATTAATAAATCTATTTAATAATCTAATTCAATCTATCTCAAACATCACAAGGATGAGTAATGTGTACAATTTCCTTTTTGGGTGAACTATCCCTTTAATTTTGCTCTTTGTGAATGAATTGGAGTATATGTTTTAGGATATGATATGTTTATGAATATGATAAGATATGAAAATGTGTTTGATCTGAGTTTGCAAATGCTTGTGACCATGAAAAAGCCAAGAGTCTCATGAGACCTCGACAGTAGGCCAGAGGGAAGATCCTGACTAACTCCCTTACCAAAGCTGCATATCAAAACATGTTGTTTCAAAGACAAAACCTTTCCTTCGTGTACAAGGAACAGTGTGCCATGTTTTATCGGTTAACCTCAGACCCTATGACTAAACGTAAATGTTTCTGTACAGTTGACTGGCGATGCCTCATTTTCTATGGCAGATGGAAATGTGAAAAACTCCTGTCTTAAACTCTGTGCAAACTGATTTAACTTTGACTGCTGCTCTTCACATGCTGGTCTCTCCATGGGCCTTAACTGTAATCCCCAATGCAATTCTCACTTATTTTCACAATTTATGGTTATAATGGATTCAAAAGAAGAGTTCACATATAGTCAAGCCCGAAATGATTCATACCCCTGCACTCTCAGAAATAAATCACAGATACACGAGCTGTCACTGATGTGATACCTTTTTAAAAGATACACATTTGTACCTAAAGGGTCCATATTAATACCTCAGGGGTATATTAGTACCTAAAAAGTACAAAAGTGTTCCTCTTAGAATTTTTAGGTACTAATACTTTTAAACTACCAATATGGACCCTTTAAGTACAAACGTGAACCTTTTGAAAACACGTCAGTGAACAGCTCGCGTAGCTTTATTTCTGAGAGTGTGGTATATAAATAATTTTGGGCGTGACTTTGATTAATCTTAAACAAAGACAATTTAAAAATTAATATCATTGACATTTTTTGTGTGTTTCATTACCGTGCTGTTTTGTTTAATTTGGCCCAATTTATAGAAATATGAATATATAAAAATATTATATACAGAAACTATTTCATTTTTTAAATTCTTTTGACTAATTAGAGTCATTTCTATTTGACATTGGATTATTTTGTATTGATTAATATTTATTAAAACATTTTTAAATTAATAAATAAATTACTGTAAACAATTATAGATTTTTAAATAAATACAACTATACATTCATTCATTTTCTTGTCGGCATATTCCCTTTAATTATCCCAGGTCGCCACAGCGGATTGAACTACCAACTTATCCAGCAAGTTTTTACGCAGCGGATGCCCTTCTAGCCGCAACCCATCTCTGGGAAACATCCACACACACTCATTTACACACACACTCATACACTACGGACAATTTAGCCTACCCAATTCACCTGTACCGCATGTCTTTGGATCGTGGGCGAAACTGGAGGACTCGGAGGAAACCCACGCGAACGCAGGGAGAACATGCAAACTCCACACAGAAATGCCAACTGAGCCGAGGCTCGAACCAGCGACCTTCTTGCTGTGAGGCGACAGCACTACCTACTTCACCACAATTTATACTAATCATTTTGATAATGCTAACACAGCTTTGCTCATGTTTCTGTTTTTTAACTGAATATTTTTGTGAATTTAACAAATTTATTTTAATAAAATAAATTTGTTAAATTCACAAAAATAGTTGATATTTACCTAATAAATGACAATTGCTGACAGTTTTTGATTTTAAACTTTAACAGATTCCTTTTTTTCTAATAAAAATTTGTGTTTTAAAAATAAGTATTTATTCATTTTTCTTTATTCCTATTCTTTAGGAAATATTTTGGTACATTAAAAAGTGTGGTCATGATGACCATCCGAGGAGATAATCCAACTAAAAATAGTGCTGCAAATGTCGCTAAATGCAGTATTTAAATCACACAAGGAGATCAACTGCAAAAAGGTCTACTTTTTGAGAAAAAAAAAAACAGCCCTTACTGGCTGGCCTGAAGTCAGATTTATTAGCTCCATTTGAATTTTACCTCCTTTTTCAAATATTTCCCAAATGATGTTTAACAGAGCGAAGAAACTTTCTAGAGTATTTCCAAAAATATTACTAAAACAAAAATCTTGTTTTATTTTTGCTAGAATAAAAGCAGTTTTTAATTTAAAAAAGTTTAAGGTCTAAATTATTGGCCCCTAAAGATATATATTATGTTCAATTGTCTACAGAACTAACCATCATTATACAATGACTTGCCTAATTAACCTAGTTAAGCCTTTAAATGTCACTTTAAGCTGTATAGAAGTGTCTTGAAAAATATCTAATATTATTTACTGTCTTTCTTCATAGAAAAGATAGAATCAATCAGTCATTAAAAAGAAGATATTAAAACTTATGTTTGGAAATATGTTGAAAAAAAAAACTTCTTTCCATGAAACAGAAACTGGTGGAAAAACATACAGAGGAGCTAATAATTCCGACTTCATCTGTATATGTGCTATATAATATTTTAGCCTGTATTTGACCATGACATAGGCAGGAGAATATGAAAGACCATTTAAATGACATTTATTATTTTGTTAATATTGTACAGTATGTTTTGAAAAACGATCGTAAAAAATGTACAAAATAAATGTTAATATATAAAGGTAGCTATAAAGAATGAAAAGATTAAGTTATCAATGGCGGAGAAAAATACAATCATCAACTTGCAAAAAAAATCTTGCAGTGACTCTCTATGATAAAGCCAAAAATACAAAGTTTGATACGTTAAATAGTTCATACAGTATGTGTGTTCAGACTCTGCATTATCCAGCCATCCACAAGATGAAGGGAATGATGAAGGTCGGAAGTGCGGTCGACGGCGCTATTCCAACAAAAAACATGGAAAGCATCCCGATGACAGTGGTCAGGAGAATGCTCCTCTGGTCCCGGATTATTGACTTTAAACTTTCGCAGAACTGTTGAGGGAAAAAGATGGCATGTGAGATTCAGCGCACTAAAACAGACCCAGAGCAATCTGTCATTCGCGGTTGTGTTTTTCTGGGCGCGGATCTCGATCCGAAACCCACCGCCACTGAATGAAGCTGTTGTTCCTTTTTGCGCTAAAATGACCCAGATTTTCTCAAAAGCTCCCGGTTAGCCAAATGACGTGAAATTACGTTGACAGAGGAGAAGGAAGTAGCTGATTGAATAAAGTAAGAATTGGGTAGGGTAGCTTTACTATGCCAATCTGGCAACTCAACACTTTTTAGTAGCTAGCACATATTTATTCGATTAAACAAATGCCTTAATAGGCTACGTCCACAACTGCTTTCCATCTAATAAACCAAATATCTTAAATATATAATTTAATACCAATGTTTTTGTCGGGCTTAGAAAAAAAATAGATAGCAGTTGTGGATAACATGAATTACACAAACGATATTTAATTAGGCTAATGAAATTTGTCATTTATTAATTGGGCTTTTTTGCATTTTAAAGTGTATAGTAATAAGGCCAATAGAGTTATTTTGTTTTGAAATTTAAGTTATAATAAGACAATCGACAATAATCCAAAAAAAGTGCAGGAAGCCATTTTGTTGTCATGTGACAAAGAATATGCTATATATTGTATGTTATATTTTATGTGTATTATTATTATTATTACTAAAGAAAAAAGCCTAAACTATATTCACTATTTAAGTGAAGTTATATTTTCCTTAAAAGTTCTTAAATTTGTGAAAAAATAATAATAGTAAAATCAATCAAAGCTAAAAATTGTATTAAAAAAAAAGTCTGAAAGTTTTATTTAGGTCAAATAGCAATTAATATGTATTTTGTAGTTTTAATTGTTATACATATATGTATATATATATTAGGCTAATAGTTTGTACAAGGTATGAACTTTATAATAGTTTTTTTTTAGAACTAAATGATTTGTTATGTTTATTTATATTTATTAAACATTATTTGTTCAACTATCTATCTATCTATCTATCTATCTATCTATCTATCTATACAAGACCCTTCTATAGCTAGCTTAAAGTGACATTTAAAGACCTAACAAGGTTAACTATTTAGGGTAATTATGCAATTAGGCATTGTAAAATGATGGTTTGTTTTGCAGACTATCGAAACTAAAATAACTTTAAAATAGTTAAAAAAAATAATTCTCTTCTAAAAAAAAAAAAACCCTATTGAAATAAATTCTAGAAAATAAAAATATTCTAGTCTACATAAAACAAATAAGACTTTCTCCAGAAGAAAAAAATATTATCGGACATTCTGTGAAGATTTCCTTGCTCTGTTAAGCATAATTTGGGAGACATTTTAAAAAAGAAAACAAATCAAAGGGGGCTAATAATTCTGACCATAACTGTATATAAACAAATAGATTTTTAAACATAATTTATCAATTAGTCCCAAAAATAGTGTTTTTTTCAGCATTTAAAATTCATATTTTCAGTACTATATTACTTAATCTAGCATTTGTAAAGGGATTTCTAAAGGTAAAAAGTTTACATATAGCCCATGTGAACATTTCAAGAATCATATTTATTTGTCTTTGTTTCATTAGCCTATTCATTTTTTATATCTGTCTTAGTGTAATTCTTGCCATTTAAAATTTATATATTTTGTATAAAAAGGGTTTCTAAAGTTTATAAGAGCCTAATTTGACTGTTTTACTGTTAAACGTATTTTACCAACTGGAATATAGTCTACATGCATTAACAAACTATTAAAAGTTCCAAATCACATTTGTGCAGAGCTAATGAAAGCTTGTATAAAATGCTAACGTTACACTTTCTAATCTACAATATACAAAAAAGTTCTGCTCTCCATCTGTATTTTGTCTTCTTTCTAAATAGGCTTCTGCTTAATTTATCTTCTATACATCTCGCAAGTTTCAGCAGAAGAAAAGCGCGAAATCGACAACATGTAATGATTAACTTGTAATCACAGTGAAGTCTTCACTCGGCAGAAGAGCGTGCAGATGTGCATCGACAGTGTTACCTGGTCCGTCTGCAGGCTCACCGCTGTGCCGTAGCGGCAGTAAGTGACAAAATGTTCGCAGTTATTCCACATAAGACTGTAGGGAAAATGACCGACAAGTTTTTCGGCTCTTCTGGCGACCTCCTCAGCAGCCAGCGGCTGTTTTCTCAAGGTAGTGTCCATCGTGTTCAGCAAAATATTGGACCCGTAGGCGAAATCCTCCACTGTGTCCACCCGTACTGAGGCGTACTTGTAGAGCACACCGAGAAGCAGTCTCTTGTTCGTCACTACATTCTGGAGGTGACTTTTGTTGCTCGTCAGCACCGGCAGTATATCAGGCATGAGGTGTGCGACTTTGTTATCGCCGAGGTAAATGCCAAAATGAGTGAACAAAGTGCGCGGAACCTCCAACAGATCCCCGCGCTGGAAGTAAGTGCTCTCCTCGCGTCGCTTCGTGCATCTCTCTTGCTTAGAGGAAGTGGTGCTGAAAAAGTTGAAATGCGCTAGAAGTAAGGTTTTCTCCAACAGCAAGGAGAGAGAATCTAACATTTTGCAGTGCTGCCCTGGTTCTACCTCCGCGCTTGGTTTTATTCTAAGGAGCAGCGGTCTGTCGTGACGTCACGACCCTAGGGGAGAGACTATTGGCTACCAGTGAAGAGCTGTGAAAATGAGAACATCAAAGAATAAAGGAATACTTTTAAAAAACGGGTTCAGAAGGTCGCTGGTTCGAGTCCCGGCTGGGGAAGCTGGCAGTTTTGTGTAGGGTTTGCATGTTCTGGCAGTGTTCGCGGGGTTTCCCCCTGGTGCTCCGGTTTCCCTAACAGTTAATAGTATAAAATAAATTGGCCGTAGTGAATGTGTGTGTATGGATGTTTCCCAGTACTGGGTTGCAGCTGGAAGGGCATCCACTAAGTAAAACATTCTGCATTCTGCTGTGGCGACCCCTTATGAATAAAGAGACTAAGCTGAACTAAAAATGAATAACTTTTAAAAAAACTTTATAAATGAACTAATGTGTGTACAATTCTATCAAATATTTTGGGTGGCGCCATTGTGCCAAAACTATTTTTGAAATTATCCTTATTTTAAAGATTTAGATAATAAAAATAAATAAATATGTTTGGTTAAAATTGCTTATTTTGCATTTTATACAAGTATAATAATGTATTTTATTAAATAAAAAATTATACCATTAATTGCATACGCTGGCACACATGTTTAATTCAAAATCATTTAACACAAAACTTAAACCCGCATACCCCTCAGTAAATGTGTAGTTGCGCTCCTGGTCCTCAGTACATGTCCAGCCAACGCAATCTCACGCCAATTCGTAACTTTTTGATTTAGTGGCTAATTTCTAATCTAATTCTTACAATTTAGTATGACTTGCTCATCATCCAATGACGGTTGGGGTTAGGGGTGGTGTTGGGTGCCACGCCTCCTTTTAAAAATCGTACATTTCCCTGACCTCTCCATAGTGTTTTCTCCTCCATTCTCCTTGTTCGCAGGGAGGCCCGTATATCTTTCTAAGTACTTTATTCCCAAACACTATAAGCTTTTCTCTTCTTTCTTTCTTAGTCTCCATGTCTCATATACATACAGTAATACTGGAGATATTATTGATTTGCACAGTCTATTTTTTGTTTTGGGTGGCAAGAATTTTAATGAGAGTTTTCTGATCTATATGTAACGGAGGCCAGCTAGTAAGTGCTGTGCAGGTAAACCTCGCTCTTATGACCTCTAAAGGTGCTCTAGCGACAGACGCTGGGGCCATGGACTTAAGCCTCCTTGGTAGAGCAACCGACTCCCATGTGGAAGGTCGTCGGTTCGATACCAGCTCGGAACGGGTTGGGTGGCGTAGGACAGACGGTGTTAGACTGTAAAACCCACCAGTCAACTTTATCAAATGAAATGAGTGTAGTCATCTTAAAATTTACTGAAAGTAATCCTACTCATTTGAAATAAGTTTTGAACTCAGTGTTGAAGGTAATGAGTTATTTAAATACTTCATAACTTCAACTTAAATGGAGTAAGTTCATAGTACTCATATAGATTCGTTTTTCTTTTTTACTCAAATGGTTTGTTGCAATCAATTTCCTCAAGTGGTTTGAGTTGCTTTAACTTATTGGGTTTTATAGTGCTCAGTTGGTTTGAGTTCTCTTCATTTATTGGGCTTTACTGTGCACAAATGTCTTCATTTACTCAAATGGAGTAAGTTCACAGTACTCATTAGGATTAGTTTTTGGTTTTTGAACTTAAATGATTTGTTACAATCAATTTCCTCCTTTACTTTTTTGGGTTTTACAGTGTACTTCTTACATTATTTTATTTATAAAGAAACCTTAATGATTATTTTTTGCTGGCAACTGGGAACAGTGGTTTGTTCTAAAGACAGTCAGAAAAAAAAATAGCTTAAAGCGGCTAATAATTTTGTCCTTAAAATGGTTTATAAAAAATTAAAAGCTGCTTTTATTGAAGCGGAAATAAAACAAATAAGTCTTTCTCCAGAAGAAAAAATATTATCAGACATACTGTAAAAATTTCTTTGCTTTGGTAAACATTATTTGGAAAATATAAAGGGGGGATAATAATTCTGACTTCAACTGTAAACATTTTAGTATGTGTAAATCATTGTTAACACGTATGATAGTCATCATTTTTGGCACAGAATTAAAGTCTGTATTAAATATGTAGTTTTTCCTTCTTTCTGTTGATCTATCAGACTAAAACTGGCCCTGTCTGGACTTTCTCTGATGTAGGTAGAAGCGCGGCGTAGATAAATGTGGAAAAAGTGAGAGCAGAGCCGTTTGGCCAGCGGTGGTTTGAGAGCTGTGCTGTGCCATGTGGCAATAATTAAAGCCCACGATACATTCACCCAGACCGCACCAAAACAAGAGCTCCTTTTACCAATAAGCCGGGTTTCTTGCAGGACGTGCCGAGAGAACACATGTCGACACTTGATTAAAACTCCCCGTCACATTTCCAA